CCACAAATCAACTTGTTATATCTATTTTGTTTAATCCAAACAAAAACTGAAGCATAAAAACAATACACAGAATATTTATTTCTAATTAGTGAGCTTTAGAGGTGCTGGTAGGTGGATTTTGGTACTGTTGGACAGAGCAAGGCTAGCATTTCCCCCCCAGTTTTCAGTCTTTATGCTAAGCTAAAATAACAATTTCCTGACTATTCACAGTACAGACAAGAGAGTGTTATTAATCTTCTCATCTAACTCTCTGCCAAAAAAGCAAAACATGTATTTGCCAAAACATCAAACTATTTCTTTTACATGCTTTTTAGCCGAGGTTTAGATGCAGCGTTGTTGCAGAAATGGAAAAAACACAGACAACATAAAACATTGCAGGTGTAGAAAAGAAATAAAATAAAACTATGATGGGGACAAAAAGAAATCGCACTCTATCTCCCTCCCAGAGGAAAAGCACAAGAGAAAAAAAGGTAAAGAAGATCACACATCTGACATAGAAATTCAGGTGTTTGTCTTGGTGCCTGATACGCCTGGCAGGACTTGTTGGCTTTCATGATGAACCAGAGTCCTGTGACAACTCCAATCAGCCCCAGGATCACACCACAAACACACACTGCTGTCTCTACAACCTGCTGGTCTGTATGTACCTCCACCTCTGTGGTAAAATACACACACACACACACACACACACACACACACACACACACACACACACACACACACACACACACATAGTTTCCCTGATGTGAACTTTTGAAAGCTGATACCACTTTTAACTAAAGTTACCTGTTTTGTGCCAATAATATTTGTCCTACATTACTTATTACATTACTGTTCTACTACATATGCACAATTCATCAGTTAACTTATAAAAAGTGGGCTGAAAATATATTTAACATACCTGATGAACTGCATTTATCTGATATACGTATTGTTAGTAAGTGCCAAACTGTGGCTTTAGTTTGTTATTAGCCATAATGGATATGTCTATTGTGTTATCTTGCAATATAATTTCAATATCCTACATCCCTTTTCCATTTTCTACATATTTTGTGTATATTTTACAAGTGCAAAACATCCCCCCCTGTTCTTTTACACCAACTGTCTCACTGATCATATTGTGATCTGCAGGCTGATGTGGCCCAGACTGCAAGAGTAGATGTTGTTCTCCTTTGGAATGAAGGTTGTTTTCCAAGTCCAAGTAGGATGAGATGCAGAAGCTGAAGCTGCGGTTAGAGTAGTACCGAGTCTGGCTGACCCCTACTCTGGCCCACCAGCTGATGATGTGTTGGGGACCCTGAGTTTCAGCTCCTGTTTGGGGTAGATCATGGAGGTGGGACTGACTGACAAAGACATTTGCAACAATACACCCAAATATGTTTTTTGAACATCTTAATCTATAAACAGAGGCATTAATATGCAGCTTTTACTGCCTCCACACTACACACTCAAAACATTTCTTTATGGTCCTCACGCAAAATTGTCCGAAACAACATTGTATGCTTGTGCATTAAGATTTTCTCATTTGACATTAACCAAATCAAAAAAAAAAACAGCTTCAGACATAGGTATGTGAACAGGGGACAAAAACCACATTTACTAGTATCTTAAACCTTTAATAACTTGAACCACTTTGGTGCAGCTGAAAGAATGTGTGACCATATCATTACCTTTGTTGATAGTGAACTTAACAAACAGGTGCTTATTTGCGTATTAGCTGTTATGGAGCAGTAGCATTCATTTGACAAATGTAAGTCCAATATTTACTCTCTTTTAGCACCGTGTTTGGTCTCTACCAAGTCCTGAGGGTAATATCTGGCTCTTTAGCTGCTAAATGCTCCACTACCTTCACCAGCCAGCTGCTATCTGCTGCTGTCTGGTGAAGGGCAGGCAGTGAACAGTGGGTTTTTAAAGCTTTATTGTTAAAAACAGCTGCATGCTGTGGCCGAAAACAATGCTATGAGAGTCAAAACAGTTAAGTTGCAGCCAGACAGCTAAATAATGAGCTTCAACTCACTATAAAGCTTCATAAAGCCAAGGGGAACTGCAGGGAAGGTTCATTACTAAGAGCAACCTCTTTCACATTGTCACATTATTTTCACATTGTCAGTTGATACGTTGTTATTATTAAACTATATTAGCCACTAAGTGTTTCTGAAAGAGGTCCAACCTATCAAATAACAGATTACTTTAATCCGCCAAGAACAAAAACATTTTTTAGATTTCTGTGGCATGGCAAGTTTTAAATAAATTAAAATGAGAGATGCAAAATGATACAAGATTGAAAGATAAGTTTACTGTAATTGATTCCTAAACCAGGGGAAGATAGATACACATATCAGTACTATGGAACGCACATTAATTAATGGAAACTCCCCAGCGCAGGGCTGCACAATAAATAGTGATAGACGCTTTAACCTGCACTGACAATGAATGCGTGATTATACACCCAGAGAGGTTAATTGCAGCTCATAGGGACAGTCCCTGCTGGTACCTGTTCTTCTCCAAAGAATACACACCAGAGCACTCCTCTCATTAACTTGTGTTAAACAACACAGCTTACCGTTCCTCTCATTACACCATAGTAGTTTAACTGCCACGTTCTTGGGATTTGGCTATAAGCAGGACTCTTTGCTTTTTACTGGTGTTAAATTGTGTTCATTTAACAGCTTTTGCCAACTTCTCACATGGTTTCATTTAAATAACGGTTTTAGGCCTAAAGAGCCAAATTATCCCTTCTTTTTTTTGGACCAAGTCCAAAATATGAATATAAATTTGTGAGCCTCAGAGGGGACATAATTCTGCAGAAAGAGTACTTTTACTTCTGACACTTTTTTCCAAAGTAGGATTTCTCCCTTTATGGCACGTGGGATGGCAGGTACCCTGGGACACATATGCAAACTCTGGCAGACGCATGACTGCCTGATAGGTGACAGGGTCAACATACAGAGGAGCTGATTATCATCAAATTCAATAGCATACTGGCAAGTGTTTGCCTGCAAAAATTAAAACCATATTACATCAATAGTTCCTAACCTGATCTACTATGTGTTGCCAAAGCTTTATGGGGGGATCACAAGACCATTTTAAGGCATGCTAGAAAACGTACACACAGTAGGCCTATATTTCAGCATTTGGTTCACTTCTGTTTTGAAAAGAAAATGTAAAGTAAATCGTCTAAAAGAAAAATGGCCAAGCACCAGGAAGAAGAAAACCCTGAATTTGTCCAAGAAGAAGCCTATTAGATCTGTATGATTGTTAAAAATTATTATTTTTTTAAATACATAATACAGACAGAGGGAAATAATCTTCTCAAAATCCATCCAAATCATTCATTTTACACAAAGTTCTTGCAGTTCACTATTTGGGTTAATGTACAGTTTTGAAGATAATATGAAATATCCATAAAATATGTCACTCAGGGGTCGTCAGTTTACTAAACGATAGAAAAGGACAAGGGTTGGGAACCACTGTAGTACATGACATAATGGTGTTTGCAATTGGCAGTCAAGTTGTTCAAAGTTGTTTTTGTAAAAAAAATCTGGTGTCCATGCTGTGGAGAATTAACACTGGACATCATCCAAGCTGCTACTAAAATGTGGCTGTTCTTGGCTCCATCAACCACCCTGGCAGGTAACCAGACACAATGATTTGTATTGTAAAAAATGTAGCTGTGCTGCAAAATGCAGTCGGTGACAGAAAGTGTCTTTTATAATCTGGTTATAGTACTGATCAAAATGTGATGGTGTGTCCTGAATGACCAAAGCATTTATCCATTTTTTTTCATGATATATTGCATCCTCAGTGTAGTAATAACTTACTTTTCTTCTATTTCTTTATTCTAATCTGCTTTTTCCATACCTGCAAACTAAAAATTGTAATGCCTCCTAACAATCATTAATAATGTAATTTTACATAACTTACCTTAACTGAACGTTGGAAGACCCTTGTCCCCCTCCCAAACATCAGACTGACACTGTTGCATTCATATGCTGAGATGACTTCCTTACAACATGAACGAGTCAGTGCTTGTAACTCAGTGACAACAATGTTTCCACCTTGAAAAACACTGAAGGAAGATGTAACTCAAATTCTAACATGAGTAGCTGCTGCCACCTGGTGGACCATAAACACAATATGCACGCCTGTGACACATCTTGGTTTAAATACCAAGTTTAAAGCGATTATCTTTTGTTTTTAAAAGGTATGGGATGTCTTATTAATCACTGTCCAATCATACTTCAGTATATTGCAATTTTATATTAATTTGTACAGTAATCAAGTACTTATAAGAACAAAAAATAGGTAATCCCTTTATTATTCCATTAATTAACATCAGCTTTAAAGCAATGTTTGGTTTCATCTTGATTAATCTACGGATTATTTTCTCAATTAACCAGTTGTTTAGTCCACTGGTTTATAAGCTGGGGTTCAGGGACCAACATGGGTCCTTGAGTGGGTTGTATGGGGTCCCCAGCAAAAAGGAGGAATAGAATATTTTAACTTTTTTGGATGTCGGGACAAGTAAAGAAATAGGGTTGAACATTTTGATTGACTGTGATTTATAGTGATCTTTTAATCACTGTTTGACTACAAAGACTTTATTATCTTGAAAGCAAAAAAAAAAAGAATAAATACTCAGGGATTCCTTAAGACAATATCTTTTAAAATTAAGGGTTTGGGGTCTTATGTTCATCTATTATGTATCCTTGATATGAAACAGTTTGGGAACCCCTGGTTTAGTCTATAAAAGCTATGATAATTTCCTAAAGAGAGGGGTAATATCTTCAAATTGCTTGTTTTGCCAAACCAAGTTAAAACTATCTATAAAAAAATTTTAGATTCTGTACCCACAGAATGTTTTTGCTTGATAAATTTGATTATCAAAACTGTGAAATTGCTAGTCAATGGAGTTCAGCACTACATCTTACATTTTTAAATATGTAAATTTGAAATGTCACACTCCCGCTGATCTCAGACAACCAGACAAAACTCAAAACTCGTTCTACAGAAGAGAATATTTTAATTATTACACTCGTCAAATGAAAGGTATGCTTCTGAGAGGCAACAACCTGCTTGACCAGAGGTGGCAATGCTCATGTGAACGCTCTTCAGGAAACAACTAAGACAGTTAACTGGAATGAGAAATAACAGCAGGTAAAAAACAGGAAACAAGGTAACTGAAAAAATAAAAGACTGAACAGCAGAAATACAATAGTTTGTGCAACAGCAAATACAGTTTAAGTATATACAAGCATATAGTCTTTCACTGAACATTCAACAACAGCTTCAACTATGCATGGACTATTTCTAAATAAAGATTACCTTTAATCTTTATTTACTTGTAGCGTTATTCTGCTTCAGTTTATTCAGTCAACACCATTTGTTCCAGTAAGTGCCGAGCAGCCAGAAGATTTCTTTAAGAAACCTTCACGGAGTTTTTCAAGTGCTACAGATGTCTTCAAGAAACAAACGCAATACTTCACATTAAAAGAGATTAATGTGAAAATAAGAAACCTGCACTATATCAGATAACATTCAGCAGCCTGTGTTCAGCTCTTGAGAAATATATGAACACTTCAGTTACAGTTTGATGTAATGAAGAAAAATGTCGAGAAGAAATACCAAAGCTGAACAGTAAGAACGGATTTCAAATTACTGAAGACATTACTTCAATTAGTGTTGTATTTAGAAGACTAGTCCGTCTTAAAGTGGCTGGTGGGCTTTTAGGAAAACAGTGCAGCCTTCAAAATCCATACAAACTGAATGAGAATGTTACTGAATTGCAAACTTTGTGATTACAGTATGTTGAGCCATTTTTATACTGTACTAATGTCTAAACCCACTTTGTTTTCAAAGAACAATGTGCGTAAACATAAAAAGGGGAAATGATCCAGAACTCAAACTGTGACTGAACTAAAAATGTTGACCTGAAAATGGCAGATACCAGAGCCGTGTTTTTATTCACTGCTCAGTAGCTTCAGCAGTGAACATGAGAAGGAATCTTTAGAGCGCTTTAACAATATTGTTGTTTTTCCGTTATTAACAATCTGGTTGATTAAGGCTGAATCTAGGGGTTGATCTAAAAATGGAGCGTGGTAGAAGGCCAGATGTTAGAAAAGCAAGGCTTGTGACCAAAAGGTTGCTGGTTCAAATTCCAGTAACGTCTGAGGAAATGTGAGTGAAGAAAACAAATAAATAAACACTTCCATTCCCTCACCACAGCGGACACAGCGTAAGGCCAGCCAAAGCAGATCTGGAGTAAGGCCCATCTTTCCACATCCTTTTTTTTCTTTTTTTATTACTCCGCTTCCCTCTTTGGGGGATCACCATAAAATTCTTCTTTATAAAAGAAACATAAATTTGTACAAGTATTTACAAAGGGGAGGAAGGGGAAACCAAGGCATTTAGTGTTTGGGTTCTACAATTATCCACAGAGATGTTTCACATCCCTCAGTCCCACATTCAAAACATTCTAGGAGTCCACTTGGAGTGTTTTTTTTTTTGCCATGGTATCTAATATCTCAGCCTACTACTGTTTCAGGGTGTGTTGTGTCCTGGGCCAGCCCAAGTCCCTGAGTTATTAGTGTTTTCTCTCTTAGCCAGTGCTAAGGATCTCAACCAGAGTCTGAATCACTGGTGTCTGAGGACGAGGACGAGGAAGAGGAGGATGATGAGTCGGAGCTGGAGCTGCTGCCGCTGAGGCGTGCGGGCTGGGTGTGCGTCTCTACAGTGCTGGGCTTCTCCACTGCGGAGAGATCGACAAGTAAATAAATAAGAGTTTAAAGGATACACCAGGTAACAGGCGAAAGGGAGAACTATTAATGTATTAAAGACCAACCATAATGAGGAAATAGTTTACATCTAAATAGCAACGCTGAAGGTGCATTTGATGCAAAATGGGCATGTGTGAGCTCACCTTTAGGTTTCGTAGGTTTCTTCACAGAATTGAGTTGCCCACTGACATCTTGCAGCCTCCTCTCCAGCTCCCTCCTCTTCTCGAGAGTTAGCTCCTCTTTGGACTTGCCAATGCTGCCTTTCTTTGCTGCTGTATATGAAAAAAATGACAGAAGTTGTTATAGTCCTGGGGTCCACGTGGTAATGCAGTGACGTGTGTGGTTGTGTATCCGTGGATCTGTGTAAATGAGCTGCAGTTAAGTGTTTTTAGGTGTAGTGGTCTTGGAACATGAGGGCTTTCTCACAGGGATTCTGCTGGTAGTGTGGGCCAAATTCAATCAAACATAAGTAATGGGCTGTAACCATGTGATACCCCAATGACCAACTCCTCACTCTCCACATCAGTTTTATTTAGCGGACGAAAAAAGCTGTATCTTCATTCTGCAGTTTGGCTTCCTGGGTAGAAGACGTGGCTCTCGCTACAAGCTGTTACAAAAATGTGGTTCATCATATTTACCATTGGTTAAGTGTTATTTAGTTTAAGCGTAGCTTGTACAATCATTAATGTGGGAAACTTAAAGTAGCTTCATGACAGGACCCAACAAACTTCCATGACTCGTCATTGATTAAATGCTTAAAGTATCAAGCACTGCGTTGCCGTACTGTACATTCTAACTTCGCAAATTCATCATCAACTTTCCACGCCACTGCATTGACCCTAAGGAGCATATCCAGCAATGTTTACTCAGGAGGAAAACTAGCCCATCACTCACTAGGGGAGAGATGAATAAAAGATGTGGGTACAGTACCAAAGTCAAGTGCATTAAGTGGCTGGGAACACAACGTTACATGCCTGTCAATTTGGTGTAATGCTATGGTTACATTTTTTTTTTCTGAGTAAATCAGAGGAAAATCTAAATTTGATATTCAAGAATCAAGTTCAACTGCTCCTTTGCATATACCAATGTTAGATTGCCCTGTCCTTCATTTCACTGTCTTGTTGGTTCTACCCATGTCTCCTGTTGTGTAACGTGATTACATGTTGTCATGTTTTAATGATGATTAGATTGTCTGCTTAACATGGTTTTGCTTTGTATTATTGTTTGAATTGCACATTTCCTACTATGTATATCTGTTCCTTACTCCTTTCACCTTTTCATCCTCTGTTCAGCTGCTTCATGTTCATATCTACCTTCCTCTGTTGGAATTGTTTTATTGTTGTTTTATTGGCTAACTCAACATCTGGCCAGGGGACAAAAGTTATAAATTACCCCTTTAGCTAACACTGGCTTTTTAACAGTGATGTGATCAATGTACACTGTACCTATGAAATATATAATTTATCTCTAATATGAAAAAAATATATCGTGCGTCAATCATTATTGACTCATTTGAAATTTAAAAAAAAAAAAAAAAAAAGGTAAAACAGCTGGCTGAACACTGGCTTACTGCTATGCTTTCCAGGGCTGCATTGTTATTTGAGGGTGGGAAATGTGTTTCCAAACCAATATTGATTAAATGTCCCTGTAAAATGCAAAAATCTAAACCAATTATAGTATTTGTTTGACAGACATATATTTACCTATTTCACCATAAGGCTTACGGGGCTTCTTCCTCAGACAGGTCATGACATAGCGCTCCAGCTCTTTCAGCGTCGATGGCTTGAGTGTTTCAAAGTCAATCTCAATCTCCTCGGGGTTGGTGTCCCTCAGTGAAGGCTCCCTTGACTGAATGATGTGAACCACGCGACCCAGCTTCTCCCCTGGTAGCTTGTTGATGTCAAGGCTCAGCTGGCGCTTCTCATCATAAGACATGGGCACGATCTCCTCCTCTTCCTCTGAGTCGTAGTGCGGCAGCATTGAAGGGGCCACTGGGGGGTAGAACGGCTTCTTTGCGGCTCTGCAGAATCAAAAGGAGGTGAAACAGTCGGGACAAAACCCATTATTGTATAGACATTATCTTTATTTTACTGTATATTGTGAAGCTTAAAAAGCTCCACACTGATGTGAAGATGAGATAATTGGATCATTATTTTACTACTAACTTGCTGTTCTTGTTACTCTTCTTCCCCTGGCTTTTCTTGGGCTGTGAACCACCTGCTCTGGCAGACTTGCTTTTCAGTATCTTGCCGGGCATTTTCCATTCCTCAGAGCCAGCTCTACTTCTGCCACCCCGACTTCGCTTCTCCAGCTTCTTCTTTTTCTTCTTCTCCTTTTTCTCCTTCTTCTCTTTCTTCTTCTTCGGCTTGACGATGGGGCCTTGAGAGAGGGCAGCCAGCTGCTCATGCACGGCCCGGAGCTGTTAAGAAAATTAAATTGGAAAGAAATGATCATTGTGTTGCAAACATTCAGTCATAATAAAAGAGACCTGGATAAATAAATAGTAGTAACCGGTCTTACCTGTGTGCACACCTGGTCCTGTAACTCGGCCAAGCGGTGTGCTCGCTCTTCCTCGCTGTCCGAGTTGGGGCTGCTCTCGCTCTCTTCACTCTCACTGCTGGGCTCACTCTCAGAAGTGGAGGATGAAGAGGACGAGGAGGAGGAAGAAGAGGAGGACGAGGATGTCGGGTGGCCACTCATTGACATGGCTGTGTGATCCATGTGTGGTTCATCGGGCATCTTGGCAAAACGAAACTCAAACACATCCTGAGGGCGCAGAGAAAGGAAAATGGGCATGCGTGAGCTCACCTTTAGGTCCTGTAGGTTTCATAGGCACTTTCATCTCAGTGGGATTATTTGAAAAGACGGCCAAGCTCACCTGCAGCTTCCGTGCCATGCCCACGACATCGTGGTCGGGTGGGTTGTACTTGTAGCAATTGGAGAACATGAGTCTGACATCACTAGCAAACTGCTGAGCGTCCCTGTATTCACGACAGTCCATCTTCCTCTGATGAAGAGTTAGGGAAGGACAAATTTAGTGCTTGACCAATAATTATGAAAACAATTTGCAATTTACAATATTTTCAATGCTTGTCAACACAGCATGTTAAATGTAATTTTTTAAATGACATTCTAACATTAAGAGATCTGAAACAACTTAAATTTATTATGTAATTAGTCACACAGTAGGAGCTATACTGATAGCTATTACTCTTTCCACAAGTTAAAAGCATACGAGACGTCACCTTGATGGTGCTGAGGTCCATGGGACACTTAATGATATCATGATAGTCATGAAGTCCCAGTGCAGCTGCGTCCACAGGTGTGTAGAAAGGCCAGGCGTACGCAGCATGTTTCTTTGACAACATTTCCTTCAGCAGCCCGCTGCAGTACCTCAGCTGAGGGCTCAGTTTGCCCTTCCTCGAGGGCTGGGGCTGGACAGAATCAGGCAAGTCCTTCTTGGGGGGTTTAATTGGGCGCCCGCTACCCACTCTGCGTCCAGTGGCTGACATCATTGGCTGGAGCAGGACTGGACCTCCGGGGCCCCTGACCAGGCCCATCCCAGGAGGGGTCTCCAAGCTCATGCCCCCCATGGACGAGATGCTGTGCATGGAGGTGTCGTGGACCTGGCCCCCGTGGCCTCCTTTCCCCAAGCCCACCATGTGCGTTGGTCCCGACATACCCACACTCAAACCCATGGTGGAGGGGGTGGTTGTGTCGGCCTTACGTTTCACACCTTTTTTCTAGAAATAAAGAGGTTGGAGGTCAGAAGATCAGCATGTGTTTTCCTTGCATAGGACACTAATACACCATCAACATGCTTCCAGACATTTGTGTTTGGTAGACATTAATTGAATAGGCTAAATCTTCACATACTTGTCATTCATTTTTATTCAGTGAGAAATTTCTGCACAATTTATGCTAATTGTCTCGATCAATATTGTGTTTTTTTGTGTATACCTTGGTTGTGGGCTGTGTAGGGGGCAGGCCCATGATGTTGGCCGGAGGAAGGCTTTTGGTCAGCACAGTCTGTGGAGAGTTGGCCAGCATGGACTCCCCAGTGTCCGAGGAAGAAGGGGAGTAGGCTGACTGGGACACTGCTGGCACCTGCTGAGCCCTCGATGCTGAGAGATGCAGTATATTTAACTTTAGTGACAGAACTCAGCTACAGAATTACAGCTGATAAAAGACTGAATAGTTTGGAGGAAGCCTATTATCACTGGAAACATGCAAGCCTTTTTATGTGGCTTCCATCATGAATGCAACTTTTACATGATTCATTTCTGCAACAGGAAGACATTTTGTAATTGCTGTATAAATGTAAAGAAAATGCCAAAAAAGAAAATGTGACCAATTTGTAAAGTTATAACAAAAAGTTTACAGTGATTCTAGTAGAAAACTAAAACAACAACTATATAAACAATTTCATTCCAATTCTGCAAGACTTATCACACACACACACACACACACACACACACACACACACTCACAAGATTTGCGACCTCTTCCCCTGCTGTTCTTGCTTCGAGGAGCTGGAGGAGGCAGCTCAATTTCATCCTGGGGCATCTGGGCCACCTTTTGGAGGAAGATCTTCTCTAAGGACTGGGCCATCAGCACAATGTCGTCTGTCGGCTAGACAAAAACATAATTCATAATCACATTAGCACACTGGAAAGAAGCCAGTATAAATACAATACATTTTAATTTCAACAGATCAATTTTATTAGTTTTAGAGATTAGCTGATTAATTCATGTATTGACTGATGACAACATCAATACACTGAATACCAAACATTTGCTAGACAACTTCAGAAATGCTTGCAACTTGCTCTGGGGTTCTCGTATTTCTTAAACGAAATGAATAACCAAAAGTAAAAATAATGAAAAATGGATGGAACTGATGGTGAAAAGGATTTTTGTGTCAGCACTCGATGGCGACAGAATCAATGTTTTTGGGATTCTCTACAACTACCACTTACACAAACTTGGCAAAGACACTTTATTTAAAAAGCCCACTGGAATATGTAGTTGTTGAATGCTAAAAAATAAATCACATAATCCTGTTGAAGAAAGCACAAAAGTTTTCTTACACTTGAGAACAAGATTTGTAGGCCAGGGCATCTCTGCAGCACTACAGTATTTCATTATAATGCTGTTTTGTTACATATTTTACCTTTATCAAAAAAACTGCAGCTTCTGCAATTTGGATATTGCACTTTCCCTTCTGCGATTTCGGCTCTACACTAAGTTTTCCAGAGGCAGCACCATGTTTCTCAACAGTTGGATGCTGAAGTCATTTGTTTCCTTGTCAACTTGACATTTTCATTTTCCCTCTTGTCTCACAAGTTGTGATGTTACACACGTACAGTATATGCAGGTCAGCACATGTTCTGTTATTACATAGGATAGGGTGTTAGATGACCCTTTTTTCATGGGAAATTAAGAAAAGGTTTTAAATTGCCTGTCTACACCTGGGCCTTAATCATCAATAAAAACAAAAAATGTGTTAGGTCAGTAAAAGAAAAGAAATTGTGAGTAAGGTCCATCCTAATATCAAATGAAATTAGAGTGGGACCATCCTACAAAAGGAAAGACTAAGAGAGAAATTAAAAAGGGAAAAAACACATGATGGATAAAGATCTGTTTTTTTACCTTTTAACCTACCTTGTTGTAGATGTAGCAGTTGGTGAACATTGTGTTGAAGTCCTGTATGCACTCACTCGCACTGCGGTAGAAGTTGTTCTCCAGGCGCTTTTTTATGGTTCCCATATCCATGGGTTGTTTGATAATTTTATGGTAATCCTGAAAAAAAAGATAGAATGATAGATGGGGGAATGGCAGAAGAGTGAGAAACACATAATCTTTGTGAAAAATGAAACTATAACTCGTGGAGCATGCTCAACATTGCAAACCAACAAAACAGAGGGAGCATCAAGTAGGGGATTTTTACCATGATAACATAAATAAAACTCAACAGAATTAAAGTGAAAGTAGAAAGTGAAAGTCACCGGTAAGTTAAGCCTGTAGGCATCCACAGGCTCGTGGAAAGGCCAGGCAAAGTGATGCCTCCACAGAGACTTCATCAGGGTCCTCTGGAGAAACTGCAGCTGGTTGGTCATGCGGCCAGGCCGGCTGGGATCCTTCACTGGGGGTTGTGGTGGGACAGGAGGCCCCTGTGGCATCGTGTGTGGCAGAGACGGGCTCTCAAAATCCTCGTACAGCAAGGAGGGTTTGCGAATGCGTTTGCCAGAACTGGTGTGTTGGTCCATCCCGCCACTTGACAACCCGACCAGAGAGCTGGAGGTGAGGATGAGAAAGAGAACGAAATTACAAACAACATATTCCTTTTTTTAAACTATATGATAAAAGATCAATAAAAGACCAGTGAACCCATTTTTTGTGTGGGAATACAAAGATACAAAAAAGGTCCACTGCGAGAGAGAGATGCTTGCTCATGAAGAAAATGGCACTTTTAAGTTGAATGTGCTGCATGACCTTTGCCACTCTTATTGATGCAGCCATCGATTCACAGATCCGCTATCCACTCCCATGAAACCATGCACTCATGGAAAATCTCAATCTCTGCATCCGATACAGGCTTCAATCATGTAACCCATGACCAGTAAAACTATTGCTTTCAGTCAGCTAACTGTCATCCAGGGAACTAGGACTCTACCAATAGGCTGCTGCTTTTAGCACAGTCATGAGAACCGCCATCGCATGGGTCCTCACCAGCCGAAAAATGAACATTCACTTATAGTAAGGTTGAGTAATAAGACGCCAAATTATGTGATATATTAATCACATTCAGCTCTGCATAAATATAGGAAACAGCCAGACATTGGCTGATTAATATATTATGCTTATTGGAACTGAATGTCTCACACTCTCACTGTCATCTTACAGTCACCATGCGCAGTGAGATTGTTTAATTCTAAAAACAGTGAATTTTACAGCCACTTCATTTTTATAAACTGTCGCTGCACAACCACAAAATATTAATATTGCACAGCCGCGGGCAAATACATTAACTATGCCTGATTTTTTTTGTGTGTGCTTTCAAATTAAATATTTATTGGAAAGAAATGTCAGAAAAACATTAATAAACACTGCTATTTTCTGCGTGACATTTGTGACCTCTGGTTTCCTCTCATTTACAGAAGGAAAGGATGTCAGGAAATGCTCCTGTCAATGTCCTGAGACATTGTGGTCTCAAAATCTGAGTTTGTCCCTGCTGGGCACTACAGCTGCCCACTACTCCAACAGATGACGAATGGGTTAAATGCAGAGGACCAATTTCCCACAAGGAATTAATAATTCAGCGTTAAGTCAAAGAAAAGAGAGACTTCCGTGCTCTCCTCGGAAGGAATCTTCAATCTTGGCTGTGGTTCAACACAATTACATATACTATGTCCTATATAGACCTGAGGCATTTTCTCAGTCCATGTAGTCGGATGAGGCCACTCTGTAAACCCGATCACCTCGGTTTCACCTCCCTCTAAGCAGAGCACATAAACCATTTAGATTTAAGTTAAATCTTACCCCACAGTTAAGGACACACACCTGCCCCACTGACACACAAACTGTGGCAAAGCCAGTGAGCTGATTTTCTACATCAGTCAGAATCCCAGCAACACAAAGAACAGTTAAACCGCATTAGTGCTGAGAAAAACATGAGCCACTGTGTACTGAATCCACAACAACATAAACAGTCACACATATTTGAACATTTATTTCAGCTTTTTGGAATATTTGTCAACAGGTCCAAGTGACTCCAGATGTTTTGTGATCTTCTACTGGATCACTGTATACACCTGTAGCACAGAAAAACACATTTGTCATTTTTTGTTTTTATTATGGGCCTTACTGGTTATAATTTCCTGATGCACCGGTGTCCAACAGGGGAATTATGTCAATTCGTCACAGAGAAATAGCATGGTTTGCGTACTTTTCAGATGTAGACTTTTACTGCCAAAATAATTGTTTTGTTTGGTTTTTTTTTAAAAGCGACAGAGCTCACTAAACATGCTTAGCTTTAAACCCAACATAAAAGTAAGCTCTGGCAAACATTTGACAGTATTAAAAAACACACCATGCATGCTTTACAACACTTCTGAGGAAAATAAAACAGCATGTTGCCACTCTATGGAGTTATGAATACCTTGATTATGTCCAATAAAACATAAAAAAAACCTTAACTATAGCCAAAAATGCAGTCTAGTGCCTCATAACATATAAGCACAGTCTGCTACTTAGAGGCAAAAACAATCTTTTTCTTTCTTAAACCTCTGATCTACTGTTGTTATCATTAACAAGTAAACAGCTCCATGTGACCAATGTGGCTTGTTTTAATCTGCATTGAATCATCTTCTGTTTCTACTAAAGGCAGTCGCACAGTGAAGCCTACAAACCCTCTTTTTTTTAAATTATTTTATTTCTTTAAAACCTTTTAATCAAAAACAATGAAAGTAAAAGTAAAGACTGTATCTCCATGCCAACAGCTGGTGATCGCGTGGTGTGGAGGCCCCGCCCTCCCTGTTTGTAAACACTGGCTCACAATGACAGAAAACGAATCACGGACAGCGATTTTTTTTACTTTTTTAAAAAAGGAGCAAAATACACGAAATCATTACTTAAAACATGTTGCTTTAGAAAGTGGTCAAACGATAAACCTGCCAGTCAATCCCCAGTCGTTTGTTTACCAGCACAGGAGCTGTAAAGCTAAGCTAAAAAGCTACCAACCAGCGTCCGCAGCGGACTGCACAACAAAACCCCGACAAAATCTAAAAGCTTTATTAAAAAGCGACTACGACAATGTCTGGATTAGCAAACGCTGTGTTTCTGGAGCATTTACTGCCAGTCACATACAGGCTGTGAGATTGGTGGAGCGATGAATGACCCGACTGACAGAAAGCCGGTGGGGCTGCAGCTGTCAGCTCGCCTTCTTTGTGCCAGCTCGCTGGTGAAGCTAAAAGCTAAACCACCAAAAAAAAAAAAAAAAAAAAAGGGGGGGCGAGTCTACAAACGTAGCTCCAGTTTTAGCTCGTAGTTAAGCAAGTCATGATGAGATGGTGTGCTGTGAAAAATTAATAAAATCAAAACAAAAATAAAAAAATAGCAAGTCTTACTACAAGGCAACCAGTTCGCGGACAGGCTAGCGTTGTTGCTAACGGTAACAGTTACCGTTAGCTAACCGTTAAAGGCTGACATTTGAACGTTGCTAGGGAACGTTAGTCCATCTTTTATCGGCCACAGCGGGGGATCGATTAACTCTCCGCAGCTCAAGTAAGAACCGAAAACGAGAGGCGGGCTTTACCTGTCGTGAGGCGGGTTGACGGCCGCTTCCATCGGGCTGCGGGCGGAGTGTTATTACAATCCCAATTTTTTTTTTCCCCACCGCTGTTGACGCTGCACTTCCACCGATGCGCCACTGTGCAGCTCCGCAGCGAAATGGCGCCTAAACGCTTCCGCTTGACCCTATATAAACCCACCACGTGGCAGCGACGCGTATTTCCTGTCACGTTCGGGGCGACTCTGCCCTCCTATTGGCTGCAGCCAGACGTCTGTCACAGGGAGCGCACACGCCCAACGCCCCCTCGGCCCTGCTCTCTGTACATCTTGTTCTCCGTCATGTATGAACACAATGGTTGCAGGAGCCGCACTGCGTTGAACTGCCTCGTTTTTTTTTTTAGCATTTGCCTTCAAAGTATTCACAGTTACGGCTTTATGTGGTCCATCTGTCTGCAGCGATTGTGTTTTATGTGCAGCTGGTTGCGGATGCAGGTCTTCTTTGCCATATAAAACCCCTTCGGATTATCAAGGTGGTAACTGTTAGTATTTTTTAATGTGCATTACTTATATATACTGTCAATGGTACATTATTTTAAAGACGCACAGTTATTCTGGCCTGGAGTATATCTGTGTGTGGGTTGAACATGCTTTTTATGGGATATATATGCTTTTCAACCCAGAAACTACTGAGATTCTGTATTTGAAGCAACATACTTTCCACAAGCTGCCAACATGAGCCTCCCCACACCCTCTTCAGCCATGCCTTAAAATGTTAGAACCCAAATAGCTTAGACGGGAATCATTCATTTTCTTAAAGTCAGGGACTAATTCTGGGATTGGATATCAAGAAGACCCTTTGATAAAGTATAAGAAAGTGTAGTCCCTGTAGGTCAGGCTCCAAAAACACTGGAGTCTACAATTCCCATAACTCAGTAGGATCTTTAATTAGACTCTTGCCTTCCAGTAAATGCCAACATCTATCAAACCCCATACTTTCAGTTTATAACTCAAGCTCTATGTTAGAAGTCTTAAGGGGTCTCCAGATAGCTCGCCTGGTAGAGCTGGCACCTCATGTACCGAGGCTGAGTCCTCACTACAGCGGCCGTGGGCTCGACTCTGACCTTTGGCCCTTTGCAGTGTGTCATTCTCTCTTGTTCTCCCCCTTTCTTCTTTATCTTCAGCTGTCACTATCAGTTAAAGGCAATAAAAGCCCCAAAAAGATATATTTAAAAAAATAAGTAAGTCTCAAGCCCGAGCTGAGCCACAGTCAATATTTTAGGACTTTTTATTGGCTGAGTAGTGCTCCTCATGGTGAATTGATTTTCACATAAAATTGGTATAGTGCCCCTTTAAGTGCAAACTAAATCAAAAATAAGTTTATAGTGATATGACAAAGCCCCGTGTTGCTTCTTCCAATATTTAAATTCCTAATTTCCAATATTAAAAAATCTACTTTTAAACTACCCACAATCACCTGCAAAAACTTACATTAATTGCAAAAAAAGTGTTAGTAGGAGAAACAAGTAGCCCCGACTAAAAGCTTTGCCAAAAGTAAAACAAAGTAGACAAAAAAAGATGAATTAATGAATTTACTTTAGAAACTGTGAGGAGACACAGATTACAAACAGGTTTGAACATAAGCAAGGAATCATCATTACAGAGAAAAGTGCAATAAAAAGACAAATATGAAAAATATATATCCCCAGAAAATTTAGACACACTCAATCTTAAATATTGCAATATGAAATACCTAAAATCCTTCTACATCTACATCTACAAAGTGTATGAAGCTATTGTATGTGTGATCATCAGAAACTTTCCATTCACAGATATTTGGCATATGGGAGCTGCCTAATGCAAAGCAGGGTTGGGTGATATGATAATAAATACCAGAAGATGATTTATTGTAGAATTTGTATCATTATAAGCAATGTTGCAACGTCACCTACTACCAATGTGCATAGAGAAAGGGAATATTCTTAATGGGCATAAACCTTAGCAACACTTGTACGGAGTGTGGTCTCACGATGAAGTTATTATGTATAGTACAAGTATTGCTGGAGTTTTGAGCCTTTAAGTGTCCATATAGCGTTTTTCTTTCGGAGCCCCAGTGTCTTTTTTTAATTGTTCCTAATCAGGCATAAGCATGTGGCCGTCTAGAGAAAACTTGCAGCACTCAGCATCCTGTTTGCAGAGCGCTCTGACTTTTATGTGTCACCAATACAAGCGCTTTTCACTCAGCGCACAAGCTCTTTATCCCAGCACTCCCCAGTGCCCTGCAAACACTTTTCTGCCACAAAAAACACAATATGGACAAAAACACTAAGTCTGAAGTTAATCAGCAACCTTCCAATAATGCGAGTGCTTCTCTGACTTGAGGGCAGCAACAGCCCGCACATATCAACGTACATCATTTTGCTTCCTCTTCTTTACGGTGAAAGCCCATGTTCTGCTTTCTCACCAGTTCAGCATAAAGACCGCCTTTCTCCAGCAGCTCGTCATGACTGCCCTCCTCCTTCACCGTCCCGTCGCTGAGGACAACTATATGATTGGCCTTCTCTATAACACTCATGTTGTTGGATATCAACAGCACGGAGCAGTTGTTGGTTTGGTTTAACAAAGCTTGGTGGACCTGTTGGGTACAATCATGAATTTATGTTACATGTGGAAAACACGAGTAAATAATGAGCAAAAAATAGAGACACTCAACGATGATGTACCTGGTATTCGTTCTCTGTGTCCAAGTCACTGGTGGCGTTGTCCAGTATCAGGATTTTGGGACGTCTGATTAAAGCTCTGGCAATGGCAATACGCTGCTTCTGGCCTCCAGACACTTGGCCTCCCTTCTCTCCGGCATCTGTCACACAGAAGGACATACTGTTATTGTGTTTATGTACATCTTTGGGAAATGGAAAGTGTATTTTGCATTAGGCAAGAGCACAAGGCCAAAGTGCTGTTAGTGAGAAGAGCACTTAATTAAAGTCATCTGCACTTGCACTACTGTCAGCAGGGTTTCTGCCGGGTTCAAAAAGTTAAATAAAAGTGTAGTACACAAGTATGATGAAAAACCACAGTGTTTTTCAATACTTCCAAACAGTATGTAACAATAAATAATCATATTATCAATTAAATTAAAGTAACTTGGCAGAAAATTAATGGATAGATTATTGAAAATGATTATTGCATTTAAATTAAGTTTTTGCTAAAAGGTGCTTATGAAGACAGTGAACTTCATAGCTACTGTAGCTAACAGTAATAATATTTAAGACTTTTAATACCTTTAATGTCATTTTTTTTTTTCAGGAAACCAAATGTTATGTTTTTCCAGATCTGCAGATACCTTGGTCAGACAGCCTGAATGTGTTACTTAATTAAGTAGTAAAGCAGTTTTCCCATTACTAAGAAATGTACCATTGTAGACATTCATTCTATAATTGGGCAAACATCTAAGAATTAAAATGAATTTTAAAAAGTAACAGTGTAACAACAACCCTTGCGAAGAACTGCATTTTAAGATTCACTCTAATAGAAGCTGAGTTTGTGGTTCGGACCTGTGTCGTATTGATTTGACAGGTCCTTGATGAACTCATGGGCACTCGCCAGCTTGGCAGCCCTGTACATCTCGTCATCAGAGGCATCCTCGTAGCCGTACTTGATGTTCTCCCGGACAGAGCGAGCAAACAGCACACAATCTTGGCTCACCACAGCAATCTATAAACAGACAGGATGAATAGTAAACGTCAGTGACTGCGTAACTGTCACAGCTAACTCTGAGAGTGGTTTACACAATGCAGTAAGCAAGTGTCCTCACAAAATTCCTGTGATCAGTGTGTAAGTATTAGGTGAAAGATAAAACAGGAGCAAAGGAGTGAAATTGGAGAGACATTTGGAAAAATCTCAGTGGAAACTTTCAGTGAACTGTGATTCACCTAGCTTATATCATGATGGTTGTACAGCTCAGGGACTTTCATTTCATCTAAATTTTATGGTCTCTGCTGCAGAATTCACTCATGTATTTGCTATTTTGAATTTTAGTCCATTTTTGCGGTACAATGACTTAATTGAAATAAAGAGTACAGTAATTAAGCTTCTTCATTCCCAGAAAGGTCCTGAAAGGCTAAAAATCTCCTTGCAGTCGACTTTTACTTAAGTGATATAGGAATTTAAAGTTAACATTTGCTGTTCTTCATGATGAATAATAGATCTCTCTGCAACATAAATAAAAAAATCTGATATTAACGTGATCAAGTGAGGTCAAGGAGCACAGAATTTGCGTCACATTTAATTGTGTTAGGACAACTTCTGAACGGTTTAAGTGGACCTTTGTCCATGTTGTGCCACAAGTCACTTAGTGCAGCTTTAAAGGTCCCCTGTGGAGTCCTGTTGTAAACACACAAAATGTATAGCATTGCCTGTGTCCTCAAAATGGGGACACACATCGTTCTGTAGCACTACTAGTGGTTAAAACTCATCAGGTTCACCTTAGGCTTCCTATTATCGCACTCACTGCAAGTCTTATTAGCTGACAATATCAGTTTAATGTTTTAAAGATTCCAATACCAAATAGAAAAAATGTCTTGTGGCACCCACCTTGTCATGTAGGTACTGGTCTTTGTAGCTTAGCAGTGGTTTCCCATCCAGTAGGATCTCCCCTGACTGGGGCTGGTAAAATCTCTCCAGCAGTTTGACACAGGTGGACTTCCCTGATCTGTTAAGCCCCACAAGGCCGGTGATTTTGCCTGGCTTTATCTCCAGAGACAGGTCCTGGTAGAAGAAAGGAATATGGTGTATTGTTAAAGAATTGTATGCAATAAAATCATTAACTGTAAATACATGCATAGGCGATAAACACACACACATACCTTGAGCACAAGCTTGTCTTCGTCTGTCTGGCCAGTATATGAAAATGTAACTTTTTTGAATTGAATGTGTCCCTTAAGATTTTCAGGTGCCAAACTGCCCTCTGGGGGAGTTTGTGGTTTGCGATCCAAGTATTCAAAGATCTTCTCAGAGGCACCGATTGCCTTCTTCACCTCTGGGTAGTAACGCATGACGGCCTGGAAGAGAGGTGGTAGAATGAGGCACTTGTAATTCTGCTGTCGGGGGAAACATACTTGCTTCATTCAAGCTAATTCCCTTTATTTTGGCCGGTG